AGCAAGGTTGTAGAATACAGGATCAGTATGCAAAAATCAATTGTTGACGATCAGTTTCTACGTACTAGCAGTGAACAACCAGAAATTGAAATTTAAAAGACAGATAATAACCACTCACAATAGCAATAGCACCAAAACATATGAAATAGGGATAAATCTGACAGAACCAATGTAAGACCTGTATACTGAAAACTACAAAACGGTGCTGAGAAAAATGAAAGGAGGCCTAAGTAAGTGGAGAGGTATGCCGTGCTTATGAGTAAAAAAACCCCAATATTATCAATACTTTCATTCTCTCCAAACTGATCCATAGATTCCGTGCAGTCCCAATCAAAATCCCATCAGACTATTTTGTGGAAGTTGATAATATGATTCCAAAATTTATATGGAAATGCAAAGAACCTAGAATAGTCAGAACAACTTTGAAAAAGAACAAATTTGGAAAACTAATACTACCTAATTTCAAGATTTATTATAAAGCTACAGAAGTCAAGAAAGTATGGAAATTGCATCAAGATAGACCTGGAGATGAGGACAGAACTAAGGGTACAGAAATAGACCCACATATATGGACAATTGATTTTTCACAAAAGCAATAATTTCCAATTGCCAGAATAATTCAATATCCATATGTAAAAACAAAACAAAAGAACTGCAATCCATGTCTTGTACCATACATAGGATGAGTATCCCTTATGCGAAATGCTTGGGACTAGAAGTGTTTTGGATTTTTGGATTAGGGATACTCCACCTACATAAAAGTGAACTCAAAATGTATAGCTATAAATGATAATATATGATAGATATAAATAAAAACAATAAAGCTTCTAGAAGAAAACACAGGATTGAAAAATTTGTGTGACCTTGGGTTAGGAAAAAATTTCTTAGATATGACACCAAAAGCAAAATCCATAAAAGGATAATTTGGACTTCATGAAAATTGAAAACTCTTCTTTCAAAGACATAGGAGAATGAAAAAATAAGCCACAGACTAGGAGAAAATATTTGCAAATGACTTTGAGGATATATAAAAACTCTCAAAACTCAGTAATTTAGATAACAGACAACCTAATAAAAACATGCAAAACATTTGAATAGATACTTGACTGAAGAAGATATATGGATAGTGCGTAGGTACATTCAAAGAAACTCGTTATTAGTTGTTAGAGAAATACGAATTAAAACCACAATAAAATACTACTGTATACTGTTAGAATGGCTGAAATTAAAAAATGCTGGTAATACCGAGTGTTGGAAAGGATGTGGAGAAACTGGAGCTCGTGGGAATGTAAAATGTTGCAATCACTTTGGAAAAGTTTGGCAGTTCTTAAAAAGCTAAACATATACCAGTCATGTTTTTTTTAGGTATTTTATTCCTAGGTATTTCCCAAAGAGAAATGAAAGCATGTGTCCATATAAAAACGTGTATACAAATGTTCATAGCAGCTTTATTTGCAATAGCTAAAAACGTGAAATATCGCAAATGTCCATCAACAGGTCAATACATAAATTATGATACATCATATAATGGAATATTACTCCTCAATAAAAAAGGAATGGACTATAGTGTGCCGCTTGGGAGCGTGGCGGCGCTCCCACTGAGGGTTCGGATCCCATGTGGAGACCGGTTCCCGCTCACTGGCTGAGTGCGGAGCAGGCGCAACACCGAGGGTTGCGATCCCGTTACCGGTTAGTAAAAAAGACAAAAAGGAAAAAACAAAACAAAACAAAACAAAACAAACAAAAAATCATTTAGGGCCAGCCCGTGGCTCACTCGGGAGAGTGCGGTGCTAATAACACCAAGGCCACGGGTTCGGATCCCATATAGGGATGGCCGGTTTGCTCACTGGGTGAGCGTGGTGCTAACAACACCAAGTCAAGGGTTAAGATCCCCTTACCGGACATCTTTTAAAAAAAAAATGAAAAAAATGAAAAAAAAAAAAGGAATGGACTATCGATATCTGCATGATATAGATGAATGATAAAATAATTCTGAATGAAAGAAGCCAGTTTAAAAAAAATTAATGTATGATTACATTTGTGAAAAATTCTAGAAAAGATAAAACTAGCCTATAATATAGAGACAGAAAGATCAGATTACTTAGGGATAGCAAGGAAGGGCAGGAAAGAAAGGACACAAGAGAACTTTTTTTTACACAGAGACACCTTTTTTGGGTCATGGATGAATTCAGTATCTTAATTGTGGCCATGATTTTGTGTGTGTGTATGTGTGTGTGCTTGTGTGAAAACTTATTAAATTGCATACTCTAAATGTGTGTGGCTTATTGGATGTTAATTATACCTCACTAAAGCTAAGAAAAAAAAATTGTGCAGGCTCTGCTGTTAGAAAGCCTGGTTCAAAGATGGATAATAGGACCCGACTCTTAGGGTGGCGGTTGTGAGAACTGTGGGTTTAAATATATGATCAGAGATAAGACCAGTGCCTTATTCAGCACTGTTCACCATTTCATGTGACTTTATTTCGTCCCCCACTAGATCATAAACTCGTGGTGAGCAAGGCACCATGTCTTTGCCATCATTTTGCTCAGTTTGAAACTTGGTATGGATATTTGGATAATCCTCAATATATTACATGAACAGTACAAAAAATGTTTTGACAAATTTAAAATTAATACTTAGGTAACAGAATTAGCATCCTTCAAACGTGAATATGCATAAGGATTTTAAAAAGAACTGAGGAATTTGGTGTTCTGTATTCTGGACTAATTTGTGAATTATGGTACTTACATATTTAGAATTATAGGGGAAATATTTAAAAATATTTCATCATCTTAAAGATATAGTATCATTATTTTTATCTGTGTATGTATGATACGTGCACACACACACGTATGTGTGTGTGTATCATACTTACTCCCTGAAAATTGTTTCCTTTGAGCACTCTAATGTAGCTATCACCCTTGTTTCTTTGACTTATTTTAGAATGCAGTTAAGTCCTTGGGAAAGTCACTTATGTCATCAGTGAAGAATGCCACCAAAATAGCTTCTCACTTAAGTTCCCATCCCCAGAGTTAACTCACAGGAGGTTCCGATAAATTCAAATATTTAATAACTTGTATTTTTTTTTTCTCCTTAAACACAGGCCCTCTGGTCCTGGCGGCAGGATCATGTGGTGGATTCTTGGCAGTCAGCAGTCTGTGGAGCTTTTGCAGGTGCAAAGGATTATATTATACTGGGAAAGACCAAAGAGGGGGAGAAAAATGTGAAAATATTAGCGATGCAAAAACAACATTCTTTGGAAATTCCGGATTGTTTAGATGAAGAGAGCTCCACTAGTTGTTTGAGAAAAAAAAGTGTCTTAGAAGAAAAACTGCTAAAAAGCTGTCTCCCTGAAAGACAACCAATTTGTTTTGACAAATTTTTTCTTTTTCTTTTTATCTTTATTAAAGACTTCACTCAGGCCCTTGGATTATCTTAAAGATGATTTATAAAGTTCTCTGTGGGAAGAGAGTTGCTGTGGGTGCAGGGCTAACTGTGCAGCTGTCTGCCTTGAGCTGTGCCGGAGGTTTAAGCACTTTCTGCAGAAAGCAGTGATTCACGGTTTGTGTGACATGTTTGACAGCACTGTCGATTAACTAGTGTCAGGAGAGCAGAGGCTACTCCACAACTCACTGAAGGCTAAACCACACTGTGTAGAAAATATGGCCATTTAAACATCTGGGCATTTTCTAGACATTAAAGCAAGAGCAAAGTGACAATATGCAATATTATGTTATCCATCACTGAGTCATATGAATTTTCCAGTGAGCTTTTAATGAGAACTCAGCTGCTTTAACGAATCTATAAGTGATGCATTTTTAAAGCCCATAAGAGAAATATATATATATTTTTTTTGTTACAAAGAAAGGTAAATTAGAATTACAGTTGAAAACAAGTGAAAATTTGTCAGACAATTGTAAACTGTTTAGATGTAAAACCAGTAAACTGAAAGATAGGTAGGTTTAGGGTATCAATTTTATTGGAAAATAGTTCTTTTCGAATTTGTTTAATGGTTGTGGGGTTGGGTTTTTTGTTGTAGTTATTAGGAAAACAAAATATACATTTCGTAGGATTCTTTATTAATAATTAAACCCATTTGGCTTATAGAATTGATCATCAAAAATAAGAATCTTGCCTCTAGACATGAAACTAATCCAGACTGATTATGATGGGTAATTGTTTCCACATGACACATACTCATTAGTTGTGTTAAATAAGTAGGTGGTCCTGATTAGTTTTCCAGAGGTTAGGCGTCTTTATTCTCCAATCCCTAAGAGAAATGTGCAGTTTTGTTGACTCCCTCTTGGATCCTGGGGAGTGAGCATTATGGAAATTTAGTCATCCTGGATAGGGAAGGCTACTTCTTAAAGTTAACAATACTATACACAACTTTCAGTGTTGAAGTAAGAACCTATATCTTCTGATCCCATTCCTTAAATAGCTCAAGCAAAGATTTGCTTGCAGATACATTGTTACTATTAAGGAATTCTGCATTCATTAGTTACTTTTTCTGAATACTACTCTGTAATAGGCCCTAAGCACTAACTTTGCCAGGAGGGACAGAAGGAAACTTTGTCAGGCATCTGCCATATGTGGTGGGAACGTACTGTTCAGGCCCCTTCAGTGAAGGTGGCCCTCCTGAGGAGCAGCATCATAGCCTGAGCTCCACTGACACCAGAAGTGACACTGGGATGCGGAGAGGGGAGTGAGTTGCCCGAAGTCACACGTCTAGCGCAGGCTGAGCTGTATGACTTATAAGGTTGGCAAGTCTCTGGTCTGCTTCCATCTCAGGAGTGAGACCTTGGAGGCTTTCTGAGCGCCAGTTTCCTTACCTGTAACATGGTAGCAACCATTCCTATCTTAAGGGATTAAGTGAGATAATGTATGTGTTAGTACTTTGTAGTCTGTCAAATCAAACAGATGTAAAGAGTTATTACTCTTTCAATAAGAACCACCAGCGCCCAGAAAGTGATAAGCTGTTATCACAATCATTCGTCTTCTCAGTTACACTGAAAGAATACTATCCTATTAATAAAGTTACTATACAGAAAAATCTCCTCTTACAGCTTGTAGCTTTTTAAATTTCTCCAATACAATGATCTTATTTTTTCAGCTGAGGTTCTAATAAGTTCGAGGAGTTTGTCCAAAGCCTTCAAAGAAACCCATTGTCAGTAGATCCATATATATTTTGCAAAAGATAAATACATTTCTTGTTTATATCCTTTTTTGTTTTGAAATTTTATGTGGCACAAATGTTGATCCAGAGGAACAAGGTTCCTATTTTAAAACGTTTCTGAGGGATAAACATCACTTGAAAATATTCCAAATTGTGAAAAAGTGCTATTCTGTAAGGGTTTGTTGCAACACAGCACTACACAGTATGGAGAAATGAATAATGACTTGCCATGTTGGGCAGCCCCTTTAAGGCGCGTACACGCTGCACTTACAGACTCTCTGCCCTTACATGGCCATAAAGGCAGCGATAAAACTTGCCCTAAACTCAGAAATCAGATTTCTCATGCCTGTGTGTGTTTCCAAGTTTAAATTGGCTAAATCATTGCAGATCAACTACTCTCTGTGCCGTTCCTGGCAGTCTTCCTTGCCCATGCTTGTTTTATAAACTACTTGGCACAAATATCCAAAAATGTTTTTTGAGACTGAAGGTGTTGATGGCTTGTCATGCTTAGAAATTCCCTTGGCTTCTGGTCAGGGGTTAAACTAGGGGGGAAGAAAGGACATTGCCAACTTCCTTATTTCAAGTTAACTTCTAAACATAAAAGTATAATGCAGTCTAAGTAAGACATTTGCTACTGTAGTTATCCTCGTACTCTAGTATTTTTTGATCAATTTCTTGTAATAAACACCTGCTTACATTCTCTAAGAGAGGTGAGGTGGGTAGGGAGAGAGAGCTCTCAGTCTCCTCATGGGCTTGAAATTCTAGAATAGGGCGAAGGATTATTTGGGTAACAAATGAGAAGGCCTGACACAAGCGTTTAAAACACAAGCAAAAAGGCATTTGTTGTTGTCGTGGAAGTCTTCCACACCTGGATGCTTGTTGGGAGATCACGCAGAGGAGGGGCGGGCAGGCACTGTTGTTCCTCCCTGACCGTCAGGAGAGCAGGGCCTGGAGAAGCAGCAAGTGGCAGCACGGCCCCCAGGGCTGGGCTGGGGCTTCCCTACTGCTGCCCCACCAGCTGCTCGGCTGCTCCTCAGGCGTGACAGCGCCAGACCTGTTGTAGGAAGGTGGCTGCTTCGCCTGTGAGAGCATAAAGAATCTGCATTTGTTCCCCAAGGAAATGTGAGATGTGGTTTTATAATAAGTCGTTTCCCCTGAAGCTAGTCCTTCAAAGCAGTTAGCCTAACGTTTAGTCAAAACCTAACTCTAGTGAAGACCATAGAAGATGGTTTCACATGTGATTTGAACACTAAAGCAGCCTATAGTTGCTGTAGCAAATAATTATTTTCTGTCTGATATGTTAGCATGTTCCTTGTATTTATTACCAGTAGCTTACAGTTCCCTTAAAACATAGAACATAACTACATTTTAACAGAAATTTCAGGTCCCTACCTCTTCCCCACTCTGGCCAGTTATTCTACTATATTATCTTCACAAGTCCTTCTTGTAGCCTTATAAAAAAAACATTGTGAGATCTGTGAATTAAGGAAATCTTTGCTATTTGAGGACATTCAAATTGGTTTATCAATAACTTACATTAGTACAGTTTCCATCATGGCAGTAAAATTAGGACCTATGTAAGCATATGTGTTTCTGTCTCTCACTTCTGTTCATATTATCTTCACAAAACATAAATCTCTAAGAGAATATTGGCAGACATCCACAGTAAAGGAATGGTTAACTTTTGCTAATGGCTAAAATAAGTTTGATTTGAAGTATTCAAATTTATTATATGTCCCTTGTCAATTTTTAGGTCTTTTTAATTGGTTTAAGATAGCTTGTGAACATTTCCACATAGGAAAATGCATTTTAACAGTCCTGCAAGTTTTAATTTGTCTTATCCTGTATGAAAGCCGTCATGCAGTGGAAAGACTACTACTACTGGAGTCAAGATACACGTGACTTTGAGTGCCAGCTCCATCCTGGGCAAGTCTATTGTAGAATGGGAACAGTAATACCTATGCAAGTGAGAGAAAATAATCAATGAGTGCCTAGTGCATTCCTGGCATGCCAGATATGGAGTGAGTACAGCACAGATATTAGCTTCTACCTTCATCTTCCCTCCCTTTTGGAGGATGAGTTGAAATTTTCAATCTGGAAAAACTATAGACACTTGTCCAAAGCACCCATTAAGCATTTTTGAGTGCCTCCTGTGTGTGCTAGGCAAGATTTATGAAGAAAACCACTCATTGTCTCTGCCCACCCAGGAAAGAGCTAATTACTTTGAGCACTACTGCGAGCCAGGCGCTATTCTAGACACTTTGCGTAGACCCATTTAATCCCTGTGTAGTATCACTATTTGAATTTTATAGATGAAAAACTGAGGCCACTAGAAGACCAGTGGCCAAGAGCTCTGGTTCTGGAGTCAGAATTAAGATCAAGTCTCAACCCTGCACTCACTCTTTCTAGGAGTTATTAGCCTATATAAGCTTCTGTTTTCCCACCTGTAGCGTAGAGTCATAGGACTATCTACCTCATGAGCTACTTTAACTAGAGAATAAATCATTTACCTAAAGCCAGTCAAGTGGTAGAGCAGGGATTTAAGCCTTGGTCTTTCTGACTCCAGGGAAGGGTTCTTTTGGGCTGGCCGGTTGCTCAGTTGGTTAGAGCACGGTATTGATAATGCCAAGGTCCAGGGTTCGATCCCTGTTGCTGGCCAGCCACAAAAACAACAGCAAAAAAGAAGGGTTCTTTCAGGCCAGAACCTGCTAGACCTTGCTGCTGGTGAGGGAAACAAAATCAGATGTAATATTTCAGGGTGGGAAGTTTGAGATAATGTTTGTTGCCTTTCTTTCCTTCTCCCTTTTCCTTTCTGAGGATTTTTTTTTTTTTTTTGATGGATGTATGTGAAGCTTTCCTGGACTGTGTTCTATAATTAAAGTATATTTACTCTTCTAGTGCAGAATATGTGGTTAAGAAAAAATTAAAAGAGGATTTCAGGACTGGGTCCACCAAATTTTTAAATACCCCAAGTTCAGCAAGTCTCTGAATTTCAGGCAACCTTTGAATTTGAAACAAAGCATTTCACATATTTGTAATCCACAGGTGGCGAAAAGGGGATTCTAATATTCATGTTAATTGATGCTCCCTAGCCCTAAGGGGTGTGACATTTATGGGTAACCAAAAATGGAACACAAAAGCATAAATAGGTGTACCTTTTAAAAAGTCAGTGTCATCATAAATGTTACCATATGGCGGAGGTTCCGTGCAATGATCTTATTTCAGCAACATATTTAGAAAGATATTTGGCAGAGATCAAATAGCCTTCTTGTTCACAAGCCACAAAAGTTGGAAAGTTGTGCTATTTTTGGAGCACCCTTCACACACACATGTTGTGTTCAGCCCTTGTAAAACTGCCTCTTTCCCCCTGAGCTCGTGGAAGCTGAGTCTTTTGAAAGACCTTTAGAATTTACTGTTTCTATCTCCTTAGGGCCTCTTGGGGTTTAGAATAGATCTCCGTATCATATTAAGTACAATACTGACACCATAAACTGTCGTTTGCATTAACAAAAACAAAGTTCAATTTCTCTATCCATCGATACAGACCCTTTTAAAATCTGTGGGCAATTTGGCCGTCACGATATTCAGAGAAAGAGAATATGAGAGAAAAGGTAGGAAGGAAGCCATCAGGCAGTATGCCTGTTGAAGCAAGACTGACTCTAAGAAGATGCAGAAGAGAGCTTAGAAATGTAGTGACTCTAACTGGCCTGTTACCTGGAGCCTGTGAAATACAGTAAGCTTTTCTCTTAACTTGAAGAATCCAGCCCTTTACACCAAAAATCCCCAGTGATTCATGTGTTTCTATTTGCCCATTTTTCTATGTGCAGAGCATAAATGATGGAAGCATTTTGGAGTCAGTTTAAAGAACAGTGGTCCAAAGAAAGGCACGGCTGCCCTGAAGCATTAGGAGCAGCGTGTCTCGCATTTTGAGAGTGGGTGTCTAGCCATGTACACATATGTCATGTACGTGTTCAGATCAGTTTATTAGTTTGCTAGTCCTTGAAAGAGCAAGATATATTGCGGTGGTGCCCTCTCCCTTTTTTTTTGCCTGAGTGGTTAAAGCATTATCTTAAACCTTTACGCAATTCTGTATCACTGCAAGAGAAATAAGCATGTAGACAAAGATTTTGCATGTGTGCGTCCTATTCCTGAATCAGTCAAGTGTACATAATGACAAAGAAGTGATTTTGGCAAAGTTATGAGGAATTATAAAATAAAAATTATAAGATTATCATATGGTACAGTACAGAGTATCTCACTTGCATGTTGGATATTCTTATATGCACAGGTGGGTTTGCAGCTGCAGTTACCACACCTCTGGATGTGGCAAAAACAAGAATTATGTTGGCAAAGGTAAGTGGTAAAGAAATGTCACATAGACATAGCAGATGCTTGTATCTTTTAGTGCCAGGACTTATAGGTTTGTAAAGTGAGTAAAGGTGGTCTAGCACTTACCTATAATAGCACCTACACTGCCTGTGGATAAAACCGACATCGATAGAACAATATCCACAGTAATCACTGTGACCAGTGTCTATATAGCATTTGCCATTTCAAAATCACTTTTACCTACGTTATGTAAATAAGTAGGTCCTCTGCCTGGAATAATCTGTATGTTTACTACTGACAAACCTGAGGCCCAGAGGGGTTGGGGCTAGCTTCATGCCATGCAGCAAGTAAGCTGTAGGCTCTGAACTTAGGTCATGCCTGTCCTTAATTGGATGCGTTAGGGCAGTGGTCAGAACTGTTACAAAATTTTGTTTAAAAAAAAAAAAACTAGGGTTCAAAGAATGCCACACATATTACATATCTGGACTAAAACTATTTTTAAAAAGTCCTATCCTTGTGGAAAAGTACAGAATTCTAGTATATAAGTCGGCAGGACAAAACCTAAGAATGTTGATCATGTTTTAAATTGCACATGGTACTCTTCGTTAAATGTGTTTATTAGCTAACTTAGGCAAGTTTCATCAGTACCATTGATACTGATTACTTGCCATGCTTCTCAGATCAAGTCATGTTGCTTTCCGTCTTTTTCCTGCTACACGGTTGTATCTCACTAATCTGGGTGAGCTCTGAAAAGCAGCTTCCCCTGTGGCATAGGCCACATCACTGCTTGCCCACGTGTCTGAATGTGATCACTTCTGGGTGAGCGAGAGCCAGGTTCTGATTGCGAAGGAACTCCCCATTCTGAAACTGTGTCCTAGATAAGGGTGCTAGGAGGTCACACACCTGAGGGGGTCTGAGAGCCGGCTGAAGTTGGGGAGGCTCAGAAGATAATGGGTTTCTCTGTCTTTTCATGCAGGCTGGTTCCAGCACTGCGAGTGGGAACGTGTTCTCTGCCCTGCACGAGGTCTGGCGGTCACAGGGGCTGGCAGGGTAAGGACAGGAGGGGATGCTTAACTGTATTTCCTTCCTCTACCAGCCTCATACTGGATGGTACCTTTCCTTTCTTCTGCTTATTTTCTGGTCAGGGTCTCTTTCTTTATATTGTACAAAATGTTATATTTGATGTTGTATGTGTGAAATAGTACAGTACAATCAAATTGATGCAGTACTGTAGCTGGGTGCTTCTTGGCCATGTCCATCTTGATGTTGGATGACATTCACATGTGTGCCCTCAGCAGGGTCTGGGCTGCAGCACTGATAAAGTAGGCTTCTAGTTACACAGTGCAGAAATGCAAGGGAATGAGGGTAACACTTAGAAGAAAGCATTTGTGGTTTGGGTACTTTTAACTATTATTAGTAACAAAGTACTTTCAACATACAGTGCACACCACCTCCATTGAGAATCAATTGAGAACATTGTCCTGTATTATTTGCCAAGTGCCTCAGACGTCTAGCTTCAAGCCCTAAACTCTCCTCAAGATGTTATTTGAATAGCGCTTTTACAACATAAACTTGCAAAGCTGTCTAAACGTTGGGATCTTACAGATAGGTGAAGTTATGATTTTCTCTTTCGAATCATCTACCAGTGATTTTCCTGGAGAGCAAAGCAGCAAGCTTCTTGTGGACAGAGTAGTGTAGGCACCACTACTAGTGTAGGCACAGGCTGGTGTCAGCAGCAGGGCTGCAGGGCACTGAGCAGAGGCCCCTTAGTGTCGTGGTTCTAGCTCATCCCTCATCCCCGTGCTGACTTGGATTGCTTATCTTATTGTCGTTTTTGTGTGCATTTGGCAGTTGTAATTAGTTTTGATAGTCTGCATACATGAAGCAGGAAAGTCAGGCCCCAGTTAAGGTTTTTCTAGAACAGCCCCATCCTCAATTTCCAACTGGCAGTTTGAAAAGTAGGTAACATTGAATGGTTTTGTTGAATGTGAC